AAATCGATATATTTCAATATGTATATACACATATCAATAATTAAATTCAAAATCAAAACTAAATTAGAAAGAAAATCAATCATAGAAATGATCAAAAAATACTTTAAAAAATCTAATTCTTTTTTTTTGTTAAAAAGTAGACCGTGTTCAATCAAAGTCAACATTGATGGTTGATCGGTCAAACATTGATCATTGACCAGTCAACTTCCGGTCAGGTCAAGCGGGTCGGGTATTAGACAGGTCCTGGGCGGGTCAATCCAACCTGAAACTCGTCTGCACTATGGGCCACGCATAGGCGGGCCTCCTTTCTTTTCCTTCTTTTCTTCCTTTTCTTTTTGGACCTGAACCCATATAACTTCATATTAAAACTTTAAAAAAAAACTCGTAAGAAAACCACTTTGGGCCTTCGACTCGAAGCCCAACCAAAATATTTGTTTTTTTTCTTCTTTCTCACGCCCCGAAGGCGTTTGGGTTGCTTCTGTAATGGCCGGAAAAAATTGGCTGTTATGCGCATGATTCGACCGTCGTTTCGACTGCCGAATGGTTGCGTGACTGGGCTGAGCCTCTTCAGCTGCAGATCTGGCCAGGTTTTCACATTTCTTCTTTGTATGCGATAGCCATGGCTGCCACTCAGTTTTCTTCTTCATGCAGCAGCAGTCGGTCGTTGCTTTTCTTTCTTCTACTGCGGTGATATTTGCATCACACTCTATTTCTTCATGCAGCGACTTCGGCCGCATCTTCCTTTGAAGAATTTCATTCATGTATATGTATATACACACACACGTATATATATATTTCTAATCTTAAATCCTGAATCCAAAATTTAAAATAAAAAAAAAATTATATATAAAAAATTCAATTACGAGAATAAAAGGTCTGATATCAATTGTTAAAAAATCAAACTAAATTTTATAAATCTAAACATGTAATTTCATACTAAATTAATAAGGAATGATAAACGAAAATGTACATGGATCAATCGCAGAAGATTTAATTGCGTCTTGCAATAGATACATCTAAATTAATACACAACCTCAAAAATTATTTTTTTTTGGTGACAAAATTTCAAAAAAATAAAGTAGCGCACGTGTGATTCGGATACCATGACCACCTATTTATATCGACATAATTTTGCATTTTCTATTTTGCCCATCATAAAATAAAAAATTATAAAAATAGTATCTGCACATATTAAACCCAAACGTAAGTCCAATGTATTCATAAATCGATAGTCTGATATGCATACATTAAACTCATTTGTTAAAAAGACTCAATAAATAAAAATTAGATGGACTTCTTGTTAAAATTAAAATTTATTATTTTAAATCAAAAATAATGAAAGTAACAGAAAGGAGATAATAGAGTAATAATATAATGTGTTTTTCTATCACTTCTCTTCTCAACAATTTGGTCAATGATGAAAATGCATAAAATTGTTTAAATTTAACAAAAGTATTATATATACTTTAATACGAGTCGAGTTTACAAAGACATTTGCATAAAAAAAAAATAAATAAATAGGAAAAAGTAAAAGGAAAATATTTTAAGAATTTCTCAAAAAAAAAAAAAGAAAAGAAAATTTAAGAAAAGAGAGACTCCATCAACTAATTTTCGTTGTAGAGTAGAGTTTAACGTGTTCATGTAACCTTGCTTCTAAATGGCAGCTTCCAAGTAATTCATTTGTAGCATTTGACTTTTTTTTTTTTTTATTGATAATTATTTTTATAGATGAAGTAAAATTTTCACAAGTATACAAAAGGATAAATACAGAACTTGCCTACAGTCTTCGACATTCTGAGATATGCTTAGAATCAATCTAATCATTTTCTATTAGTTGTTCTCTTATTACCCACTAGAAAATCAAAATTAAAAACAAAAAACAAAAATCCTTCATATATGTGCAAAAGGAAATTTGAGAAAAGAAAAATGGTAGAGTCAAAGGAATTAATTAGGTGATAATATATATGTTTATAGGGTAATTTGATTAAGTTAATTATAGATGTCTATAAACTTGTCTGTAACTTATACAAAATCAAATATCGTTCACGTATAATATAAATATTTTTTCAAAAAATAAAATTTCCATTATATAATTCATGGCTAGTAATTTTAAAATTGAAGATACAGGTACAATATTAAGACTCTAGAACATATACTTAATTATATATAATTAAGAGTGATAAAATATATGCATCTCATGTTTAAGTGAGTTATGTTAATATATACCGTAAGTGATTACTATTTTTAGTCTGTATACAATCTGTTTACGTTAAATTTATATATTATTATAATATATTTTATGATATGTGTGATTCTTTATGTGTAATTATTTATGTATTTATAATCAAATGGATTTTTAAGTGTATTTATATATTTGACAAATTTACATGTTTATAACTGAACTTCGAAGGGTCTAAAGGCATCTACTAAATGACCCTAATTTGTTTAAGCTACACGGGAATTTGCTCAATTTTGTATCTAAATGTGCCGCGTAAATAAATTATATCGAAGTTTGTTTATCCTATAAGTAATACTGTAAAAATAAATATTTTATTTTTTCTTGTTAATTTTTTATAAATAGTCAACATTTGTTACCTTGACCTTTTCCTGGTTCCTTCAATTCCAAGGGAAAAACAGCTTTCATTCAATCGTTGTTTATTCAATTAGTTGTTTTGTTTATAGTATTATAGTCCACCATATAACAAGCTCTAATATCTTTTTTTTTATTTTTTATTGCTTTTCAAATTTAGCTAACTGGCTTCCAGCCACCTTCGTTTTTATCAACTACGCATATGTCTCACTGTATGTATGGTATAAATGTGTGTGTGTGTGTGTGTGTATATATATATGTAGAATAAATGCCAGATCATTTGAACCTAAACCTAAAGGAAACAAGATGCCCTATTAATCTCTTGGCCACTACAAGATTTATGTAAAACAATCTTTAATCTAAGAAAGAAACTGAGCAACCAATCACTACCCAACTCAGTTCATAGTTTTAAAGACTCCTCGTGAGTCATCAGAGCTACGGGTATGGAGTTCAGAGACAACAACACGGTGTTTTCTCGACTCTGTAGAAGAAAAATATTCTTGGCTCTCTTTTTCGTTTTCTATTTGATAAATATCCCGCTTGCTGAAGCTAAAATCCGCCGCTATAAATGGGAAGTGAAGTACGAGTACAAATCACCCGATTGCCTCAAGAAACTGGTTATCACCGTTAATGGAGTAACTCCAGGACCCACCATTGAAGCAGAGGAAGGTGACACCATTATAGTTGAGCTTAAGAACAGTTTGTTGACCGAGAATGTAGCAATCCACTGGCATGGAATTAGACAGGTGAAAATTAATAAATGATTTAATCTTTCCAGATTCCGAGCTTTCAAGGTGATCATCAATGGAGTTTTGATTATTTTCTTCGTGGGTGTTTGTGTTCATATTTACAGATTGGAACCCCCTGGTTTGACGGAACAGAAGGTGTAACTCAGTGTCCAATCCTGCCTGGAGATAACTTCACTTACCAGTTTGTTGTCGACAGAGTAAGTCATACTTAATTATACACTAATTTTAGGGGAATTATGCAGTAATAGTTAATTAACTTTTTGATTTGGTTAATTAATCTAGCCTGGGACGTACTTATATCATGCTCATTATGGGATGCAAAGAGAATCCGGATTGTACGGAGCAATTCGCGTTGCAGACAGAAAACCAGAACCATTAACATATGATCATGACAAGATAATCATCCTCAATGATTGGTACCATAAAAGCACCTACGAACAAGCCGCTGGCCTCTCTTCAATACCCTTTCAGTGGGTTGGGGAGCCTCAGGTAAAATTCCTATCTATACATGCATATATGTATATTTACACGCACATAAGTATACTATATATGTATGG